CTCCCAGAGCTTGTCAAATGTCAGCCTGAACAATTACCTCTGGTGATTGACATGAAGGAAGAGAGCTTCAGCAATCATTAACAGAGGCCTTCACTACAACAAAACACACTCCCTTCCCAAAACACAGCTTATGAAGAGAGAGAGAGAGAAAGAGAGGGGGAGAGAGAGAAAGACAGACAAAAAAAGCAAGCAAGCAAGCTTCTTTTCCCTTCTGTAAACTTAGCTGCTTTCAATTTTTATGTTTTTTTAGCCTGAAGAACTGTACAATTCTTTCTTAAAGGAATATATAAACTTCCATTTTATAAAAAGAAGAAGTTTGCTCTCTAGTGGCTGAATCCAAATTGCTCAAAAAAACCCCACAGACTGCTGAAGGGAGAGTTTCATGCAAAATGTGCTCAGTTCCTGATCTTCGTGCCACTGAATATTTGATCTTTGCCAGTATTCACTGTTGAACAACAAACTATTACTGATGCGATTGTACTAAGGAAAACCAAAGTGCAGGATACTAAAATCTAATCCCGTGGAGTTTCTAGTTGGAAAAGGAAAAGGGTCTTTTTCTACATGCTTCCTGATGTGGGGAGGGACTAGAATGGGGTCTGAAGGGTCAATCTACATGGGAGAACATGTTACACAACCCATATATCACTGGCCATAGAAAGCTTATGATAAGACCACTTACAGCAGTGTGTGATTCTTGCTGGTGGCAGGTGGCCTTTGACCATATAAGGCCAACACTGCGCTATGACTTCCATTCATCATGGTATTTTTGAGCTGCAATTTTTGTCACCAGCCAGGATGTCATGGGATGGCAAAATGCAGGACTGGATGCAGCCGAGGTCAAGAAAGGGCAGGGGCTTTCCCCCTCCCCAGGAGGAGGACCACAGAGAGTGCCCAAGTTCCTGCACCCATCTCTGACCCCAGGGTGCCTTGTAAAGCTGCACAGTCCATATCAGGATACAGAAGAGACTTCCACGTTTCTTCACATCTGCATTTCTGTCCCTGCTCTTTAGCCTCAGGGCTTTCAGAGCAAGAAGACTCACTCTGCTCCCCTCACTCAGCCCTGCCCTCTGGTTTCCCACTGTAGAGACCCGTACTGTGACGCCTCAGACCACATGTAGATCCCAGTATCTGGAATGAGGACTGTGCTTCTAAAAAGTGTTCTCCCCAGGGTAGTCTCACTGCCTTTAGGAGACGCAGGTCAGTGGCAGGTTGTCTGTGTGCCACCGCTATCTATTTTCTCTGCTTACAGCACATCTGGAAGGAAGAGCCAGGTGCCACAGTGTGATTGGGTTAGCCTGGGAACTGTAATGACATTTCCTACTCACAGCTAAGAGGGAAAGGGAAAAAACCCAAAGCTACAGCCTCAACGAAGGCCAGCCCAATCCACTTCTTAATTTTTTTAGTGCTCTTACGTTATGGAAAAGCCTACGAGACCTCATACTTCAGCAGCCAGATGGAGAAGGGGACAAGGCTGATGAAAGTGACAGACAGGTCTCAAAAGCCCACCACATCTCGAAGGCCCATTCCCAGGCAGAGTAATTGTCAATCAGAAGCAAACTACTTTATAATTAAAACATTGCATGAGCATGGAGATGTCTGGGGCTTTTGCTTAATTGATGGATGTGACAGAGAAGCACAGACGCGTGGAGAGAGGGGCTCAGGCAACAATTGCTGAAATCAGTGAGGGTTTTGCCACGGAGCTAATCCTGCGCAGGAGCAGAGCTAGGGCAGGTGTGGAAACACTACCAATCCACCAGCCAAACCCTGCTGTATTTTAGCCAGGAGAGCATATACACCTCCTCCTTCCACACACCCAGGGCAGGTAGGGGCACAGCCAGGCCCTTAGGAATCTCATTCCCAAAACAAGAGCTCCACACGTTTTGTCACCATGGATCATGCAAGTTTGGGGCATGCTTCATGGCTTCTGCTGCTCTGGCTCCTGGCCCACCGCCCTGGTTTGCACACTGCATTGGGAAGCCTTTTGCAGGGCATGGGCCCTGTCAAGTTCCCCACTGAGGAGTCCTTCTCTTTTCTTCCTGTTGTTCCTTCTCAGAAGATGGGTCTTGGGATTTTGCCACAGTGCTGGACTACCTCTCTCAGCTGTCCTGTCCCTTGTGCTCAGGAAATCCTCTTCTGTAGCTTAAAACCAGAAAGAGAGTGCTGTGGTTACCCAGTCTGGTCACCATAACCTCGTTCACCGGGCCACCCAGCACTGAGCCCTTCTTGAACAAAAGTATATCTTTGAGAAATATCTTGTCTAAGAAGTGCAGTGTGAAAAAGGAAGTCCATCCCTCATACCCAGTACTTTACATGGGACAATCTCACCCCACAGAGCAGAAATGCAACATACAATTGTTGAATTTTGATCTTGAAACAAATAAATAACGCATACTCATTTACAGAACAAAACCACCCACATCTCAGTAATATTTCATCATTGTGGCATTGCAACATTTTGGAATATTTTTTTTTACATTCAAAATTAGTAATACTCTAGATGGAAATGCAGAAGTAGCTTTAGAAATAATTTCTGAGTTTAATCAGACCCTTGGAGATGAGGAAGTGACATGATTTTCTAGGGCTGTCTTTGGCTACAACATCATTTCCTATTATGAGCTAATCCAGAGCGGTACAAGATCAGTGGGAACAAGAGGCAGGTTTTTGGGGCTCTTTGCAAATCTCTAACCTCCCCAATAAACATCTGTTACAACTCTTCCTGAAGGTGAGGGTAACTGAGGTTAATAGATCCCTTGGGAGCAGATTGAACACACTGAATGACCGGTGTTTATATGTATTTATATATATGGTGAGTTTAGTTTAAAACAATTTGGTTTCAATGGAAAGAAGGTATGTAGCCGTGTTGGTTATTATCTATAGATATAAAAGTGTTAAGATATCACTTAAGAAAATATATAAGGAAAAGAAAGAAAAAGAAAGGATTAGATAATGTATAGGAAAAAATATCACCTCCTGTGGATCCAGTGATGAGACTTGATTGTTGCAATTTAGTGTGTGATGGTCACAGTCTTGATCCATCAGAGGTGGAGGAAGCACATGAAACACACAGTTAATATACTTTCAGTTTCAGGTGGGAATGTCCAGGTACCTCTCCTGAGGCAGGGGGAGTTTTACACTGTCTGTTGGAATACTGTGGATCCTGTGCAGTCCTCTGGTGGAAGGCCCTAAAAATGAGTCTGGGGGTGCTTCAGAAGTCTTTGATGGTTTATGACCAGTTTTAAGACATAACTACTGTTTGTCATGCCAGACCAGTGTAGCTGAGCCACTGATGCCTTATCAGACAAGAGGAATACTTCAGGCCTACCTGTGAATGTGAATGTCAGGATACCTCTCCCAGAGGGGAGATTTACACCTGACTTAGTTGTGTAAGGGAGGACATTGACATGATAAAAAGCCTTATCCTGCCTCACAGGATCTGCTTCTTATCTGTCAAAGGATCCTTTGTCTTGGTCATCCTCCCTGGTGGTTGCACATCCCCTCTGCACCTGGGCTGTTCTTATGCAGATCAGGGGTTTCACAACCATACACCCAAAAACCCTCCTCCCCTTCGGTTTGGGGGTGCAAACCTGGCCTCAGCAAAGGACCATGCTGCTTATGCAAATGGCCTATTGTTTGAATCATTAATCCTTAATATTTCAGTCTCTCACACAACCATCCTCTTTAAAGTTCCTCCAGCAACATCAGTCATGGTATGCTGTCTGCTCACCATCAGCTGGACCACATAGAGCTACTTCAGAGAAAGATACCATTATTCTGTCCTAGAAGAAACCATCAGCCCCTTCCTCTAATGCAGGGCAACAATAATATTACTGATCATGGAATGAGTTGATGACAAGACCAAATAAACTGGGACCGGTAAAATAACACATACTCCCTCTTGGGAGTCTTCAGTTCCAACAGGCCTGGGGAAAGGAAGATGTGTATCAGCAATCTCCTGCAACTATTAGAGCCCATAAAAGATGTAGAAGCACCATATATTCCCCTTTCTTCCCATCAGTCCATCCAAGAGCTGAGCTTAGTAGCTGGGCCATGATATTGGACTACCTTCTCCAGCTGCTCTGCTCCTCATGCGATAGGTTCTAACACTAGAAAGGTACCACTATAACTATTTTTTCTGATTTCCTACATAACCTTCTGCACCAGGGATGGGACAACCCCGGATGTTCATACAGACTGGGGAATGAGATGCTGGAAAGCAGTGCCGCAGAAAGGGAGCTGGGGATCCTGGTGGATGGCAAGTTGAATATGAGTCAGCAGTGCCCTGGCAGCTGGGACGACCAACCGTGTCCGAGGGGGCATCAGGCAAATCATCTCTGGCTGGTTGAGGGAGGGGATTGTCCCACTCCGTTCTGCACTGGGGTGGCCTCACCTTGAATATTGTGTGAAGTTTTGGGCACCATAATATAAGAAAGTTATTAAGCTCTTAGAGAGAGCATCCAAAGGAGGGCAAGGAATATGGTGAAGGGCCTTGAGGGGAAGCTGTATGAGAAGCGGCTGAGGGCACTTGGTCTGTTCAGCCTGGAGAAGAGGAGATTAAGGGGAGACCTCATTGCAGTCTACAGCTTCCTTGTGAGGGGAAGAGGAGGAGCGGGCACTGATCTCTTCTCTGAGGTGACCAGTGACAGGACCTGAGGGAATGGCCTGAAGTTGTGTCAGAGGAGGTTTAGGTTAGTTATTACAAAAAGGTTCTTCACCCAGAGGGTGGTTGGGTACTGGAACAGGTTCCCCAGGGAAGTGGTCACAGCACCAAGCCTGAGAGAGTTCAAGAAGCATTTGGACAATACTCGCAGGCACATGGTGTGACACTTGGGGATGGTCCTGTGCAGGGCCAGGAGCTGGACTTGATGATGCTTTTGAGTCCCTTCCAACTTGGCATATTTTGTGATTCTGTGAACCTGGCTCTGTGGACCTCCAGGAAGTGATCAAAGATCTACCTTTAAGAAAAACACCATAAATATTAAGTTGCTTATGAGGGAGAAAGCACTTTAACCTTGGTTGAAGTCATTGAAGTCCAATGACTGTTACACTCATAATAAAAAAATGCATCTTATTTTTGTCTGAATTTGCTTACTTTCAGCTTCCTCTCATTGCTTTTCTATTCAACTGCTAGAATGAAAAGCATTCTGCCATCAAGTATCTGTCGTCATGCAGGCAAAGGTAAGCAGTGACCAGCCATCCTCTCAGCCAGAGGCCTTGGAGACCTTCTCATTGGTCTGCCACTTCTGTTTGTAGGATCTGTGACTTCAAATTAGACATATGTTGAAGCACATGTTGTTAGTGTGCACCCAGCTAAACCACTGATCCTCCTATGACCTGATATCAAACATTCTCTGTTATTATCTGCAGATGTCATCAGCAATGAGTGCTCTTTCCGTAGCATCAATAACATGTTCAGTAGAAATACAGCTTGTTATCTGTGCTTGTGGATTAATTCCCAGCACTTACTGAAGACAAATCTAATGCTGTTTAGGCAGATCAGAACCAAGAAAATGGACCTTACATACAGTACAGAGGATTTTGTCTGGGAAGCAGTGAACCCAGAAAGGACATGAGACCAGGAAGCTAGTTGAACACCAGGTCCTTGGGGTGCCATGACCTTTGCTGAGCCAACTGATCTCTCTTTAATGAGGAGAAAGGGGAGATCTTGCCCATCCTGGAAGTAGAAATCTGTCAGGTCTAAGCCTGAAACCCTGCTTTCTGAACAGCTTTTCTGCAGGAACAACTCCTCCACGCACAGATCATAGACCAGCCTGGGGAAAAGGATGTGCCCAGTGAGGTCTCCCCTGGCTTCTGAGGCTGGACACTCCATTCCAGATGGGAAGTAGAGTCATCCAAGTTGCTGAAATGTCTCTCCTGCACCTTGCAGCATGCGAGGAGGCTGGCAGGAATGGCAAGCAGATCAAGAGGGAGGGGGGGATGTGTCAGTGCAGCGTGACAGGAGTAGAAATTACATCGCATCACACTTTGATGCCTCCACTAATAACCTCTCAGAAATAGTTTCACAGATTTCCTTTCCAGCACTCACACAACTAGATTAGATTTTGCTTACAATCTGACCCAGGCTTCACCAAAACCTAAGACTCTGAGCAGGATACACTGGAAGTTTGTTAGTGTGAGTTCCACTTCAGCAAAGCTGAATGTTGCATAAAGCGGCTTTTTTTTGACCAGCATTGAATCTGAATGAACTCCTCTTTTGACTCAGCTTTCATTCCCTGGAAACTAAGACCTTACATCCCTGTTTTTTAAAGGGACTTAGTTCCCATCTCACTGAAAGTAAAATCAGAGCTGATTAATTCTGCTGACTTGGGTGCTGTGCTGTGAACAGGAGATGTCTTTTAATGTAGTTCAAACTTCTTTTAAAAGTGTATCTAAGGAATAAAAGTAAATGATGAAGTTGTTCTTATGCATTCTTAGTGTTGCCAGGGAAACCATTTCCTGTCTGTATTTATCCCAATTCATCTCTGTTTTTTCAGGGAGGGGAGGTAAACCTTCTAAAATAAACAGACAATACTCTGAAATGAAGGTACTTACTAATGAGACAGGGTATCCCCAAGATACACTACATGGGATCTGGTACTTTTCCAGTCAAGATCACTAGTTGAAATACATCCAAAATTAAGAACTTCTGAAAAAAAAATTGATATAATGAAGGGACAGTCTGTATTGCTCATGGTCTGTGTCTAGTCCATCTTAGACAGGTCTGCATTGGGGGGAAAAAAAGCATTAATAAGTATATCTGTGTGCAGCTGGCCCTTGAAGTCTATTCCCACCTAAAGCTGACTTCTCCAGACCAGACTTGACACACAGCTGGAAAGCATTGCAGAGACTTCGCAACCCTGTGAGTAAGGACAGGTATTCATAGTGGGCCCTCAGAAGCACTTGTTCTCATGGAGCACATTGTAGAGGATCTGAACCTCATACAGGACCCACAATACAACTGCCTGCTATGAACTGACATAATGTGGCCAGGATCCTTGTTCCTCAGGAGTGAACTGAATATACCCTTAGGAAAACAACAGAGATGGAAAGAAGTGTGTGCAGCTGCCATTCACAGAATCACAGAATCAAAGAATCAAAGAATCACTGAATCACTGAATCACTGAATCACAGAATAGGTAAGGATGGAAGTGACCACAGTGGGTAATCTGGGCCCACCTCCCTGTTCAAGCAGGGTCAGCCTAGAGCACATTGCATAGAATTGCATCCAGATGGTTCTTGAGTACCTCCAGTGAGGGAGACTCCACAACTTCTATGAGCAACCTGTTCCAGTGCACAGTCAGTTCCAGTAAAGAAGTTCTGCATACTCAGGCAGAACTTCCTGTGCATCAGTTGCTCTTTCTCATCTACCACTGAGAAGAGCCTGAGTCGATCCTCTTGGCACCCTCCCTTCAGATACTTATAGGCATTGATAAGGTCATAATCTCTTCTTAAAGGCGCCCAGTTCCCTCAGCCTTTCCTCATAAAAGAGATGCTCCAGTCCCTTAATCATCTTTGTTGCCCTCTGCTGGACCCACTCCAGGATCTCCATGTCTCTCTTGTACTGAGGAGCCCAGAGCTGAACTTCAGACAGTTCTCAATCCACCTCACTGTCCACTCATCCAGTCTGCACCTCCTGGGTTCACCTATGAGGATATCATGTCATCAGCTTGGTGGGATTGACTGCACTAGAGAAAGGATGTCCATCTCCTTCCCTCTTACCAAGAAGGAGTCCAATACTGAAGGGGGATTGTTAGACCCATGTTTATGCCATTAACCTAGAGCTCAGTTTCTCACTTTTCATGTCCTTTATGACCTCACCCCATGAGCAGTTGGTAGTAGCACTTATCTGTCTCACAGAGGATTAAAAACATAAAAGACTAAGACGAGGAAATACCATCTTCTTGAGGACTGAAAAGCACTTCCAGTGGCATATTGCCCCATGCTATCAAAAATGACAGCACTGTAATTACCCTCCCAACAGACAACACGTCTCCCCAAGAAACAATATATCACTCCACTTGCACTTCACAAATCCCTGGCAGCAAGAAACACTCTTGAATGGAATCCCCCTTTGTGGTGACATGGAGATCCACCTTGCTCTGAATACCCCTGGGGCACTCACTTGGTGATTTGAACACAAGCTCCATGCAGACTTGGTGAGTTGGTGTCTGACATGTAGTACATCACCAGTACAACAAGAAAGCACAAGCATGAGGATCAGGATGCTGCTGCACACTTGTCACATGTGTGACAAGTCCTCCCTTTAGGACCACCATGGGGCAATGCTGGAAGCCAAAACCCATGGTGATGGGGCCAGCAGGAGGAAAAGCAGGGTGGAGAAAAAGGTAATCACACTTGCCCTCTTTGTTTCCATTCAGGCATTCATATCTCTCTGCTGTGTTTTCCATTTTGCTGGCTTAAACATTCCTCATCATGTTAGAACAAGAGTTTAGTGGGAAAATGCTCATTGAGAAGATTACATGCAAATCCATTAAAATTGGAGCATATTGGTAGAGACCAATGTTGTGGATCCTTGTGGATGTTTTTTGCCTGTAGCTTTTCAAACAGAGTGACGGTTAGGCTGAAGCCCTAGCCCTGTGAAAGCCAGAGACTTCTGCTCTTCTAGTGACTCCAGTGGGTTGGGGATGCAGCTTCTCAAGTTTGGTGCCTGAGGGTTTCTGCTGACGTGTGAAGGATATGACTGGTGTGGCAGGCACTGTGCCTGGCAGCTGAGTTTTGCAGGACTCCAGGACAGGAAATGACAAGGGGAGCGTGTGTGATGATGGTCTGGGGAGGAACTGGGCCCTCACATGAGCACCCAGAACATCCTGCCATTTCTTCTTCTTTCATAAAAGCGTGACCCAGTATGCAACCAGATCCCTTCTGGGAAGACAACTGAAGCAGTGTTCTGAAAGACTGGCTCTCAAGCTTCACAGAATTCTGCAGGAGCCTTTTCTGTTTCTGAGAGGGTTTACTTCCTTTGTCTCAATTGTCAGCAAATTTAAGACTACATCTCATTAAGTTTAAAGAAGAGTGGCGATAAGGAATTTAAATGATCAGGTATTAAACCAACCTAAATGAAGGAGATAAAAGAGCCTTATGGAGACAGGTTATCCACCTGTGGATGTCACAGGCTGGGTTAAATTAGGCAGCCTCACCACACCCCTGAATTTGAGATAGCTCGGAGAGATAGCTAAGCACATATTTAAACCCAAAACAGAAGCAAACATATGAAGCTGCTCTAAATGCTGGGCAGAGAAGATAGGCCAAGGGTGGAGTTACCTACAAATTTTCTTGGAGGGTGAAAGAGTCCACTCCCATGCCCTTGGCTGGTGATGATTGTCCCTGGGGCATCAGCCTCAAACTTGGCACGGGAAATGAGCTGCCAGCGGCAGGGGTGGCAGGGGACTCTCTGGTACTGGCTTCCTGTGAAAGGGAACATGTAGGGCGTTGAATCCTGCACATCACCTTGAGCATGGGCTTGCATAAGGGGAAGGAGCAGGAGGACAAGACATGGAAGCAGACCTGTTGGATTCAGCTCAGAAAATGCAACAGCTTGTATAGCTGTGCTGGCTCAGAGTGACAAAAAAAATCATGCTTCCCAGCCCATGGAGCCACTTGGCTCAAAACAGGATAAGAACTCAGCAAGTCCATCAACAGAGATCCTTTTTATCTTACATTGAAGGAGATCAACCTTCAAAACCAGTGACCACTACACAGCTTTTGGAGCCCTGAGCTACACTGCCACCATACCACCTTTGCCTAACGCCCATTACTTAAGGGCAGACCAGGAATATGCATCTCCTGAAATGTGGGTTACATCTCTATCTTATGTCCTGAGATGTAAGCAGGGAGTGAGGCACAGAGGTGTGCCAGCCTAGGCTGCTTCAGCACCTTGCTGGAGACCAGGGAATTGCCTCCACGGATGCCCAAGGGCTCAAGGCCAGACTGGGATCCTGGACCCGATCCAGCATCAAGTCAACACAGGTAGAGAGTAGCAGGGCTCCTGGGGTTGAGTGAAAGGCAGTAAAAATGAGGCAGGAGGAGGGCTGGGGACTGGGCAAGGAGCTGCACCCAGGCATGTTCCAAACATTGCCAGACAGAAAAAAAGCTGAGAATCATTATGTGGGCAATCCCTGGAGAGGAAGCCTGACACATCCTGAACCCTCAATGTTGTCTTAGGCAAAGACAAGCATCTTCTCATAAGTAAACACAATTGACCTAACTTTATCATACTTTACAGGTCCTACCTACAACCACCTGCACAATGCTCAAGGCTTGTAGCTATTTAGATAGCTGTTTGTAAAGCTACATATGATCCAGTTATAGAATTATTTTGGTACCAAGCACTTATACTAAGGAACTCATTACAGCAGAAGCATTTGAGTATATAATATTGAACTATTAAAAGGGCTTTTGTTTTGTGGTATTTAAAGTGGTTCTTAAATCAAGACCTAGTCTATCTCTTGACAGTATTAGCACTGCTACTTTCTGCTGTTCGGTCAAGGGAAGGATGAAGTATCATTACGGCTTCTTGCCAACATGCAGTATGATGCAGTTAATTAAAGAAACATAAAGTTCACATGCGATGCTAAAGATCACCTCTGTGCCTCTGAATGCACACTGGCATTAAATCAGTTGGATAATTATGGGACAATTTTGTTCGCCTTTTTAAGCTGAGGTTTATACAGTCCGTTATAGGACGGAAATGTCATTTTACAATTTAGCTGAAAGTGATGTCAGACTGTATGGTCTATAATTTAGGCCAGATATTCAATAATATTTTCATTTGATGACTCTGAAATATGAACTTGAATGGTAAGCCTTCTGAGCCCTCTTAAGCATAGGTTGCTTAAATAGCCAGAGATGCCAGAAGAGAGGCTCACAGTCTTGCTGCCCCTTAGCTGCCCCTTCGCTGCCCTGTGAACCTCCTCTAGCTGGCAAAACATCTCTCTGTGGGGACATTTGCTGTGTTTCACAGGTCCTCATGACAACCTCAACCAGGCAAGACAGGAAGCCTGAGAATTGGTGTGTCTCCTGCTCACATCCGTGTTGCAGAGGAAAAACCATTCAGGAAAACTGTGGCATTTAGAGCAAAGGCACTATATTAGTTAGCCCTGGTAAACATGCATCTGCAAAGAGACAAGCAACTATATCCAGAGCATCAGTGTTTCATTACAAAATATTGCAAGAAGCAAAAGAAAATATTTATGTTGCTTCAGTACTGCAACTGAATAATAAAGACAACAAAACTCTTTAGATTTTATATTTACCAAGTTGTGCTTAATATCAGCGCAAAAGAGAGGAAGTAATTATTCTTTAAAGAATAAAGATACATAAACTATGTGCCAGTTAAAAAATTTCAGGAGACTGTATACCACTCACCCTCAAACTCCATAGCCTCTGCTTACCAGCATCCAGAACAGAACTGGCCCATCCTCCGAGGCAGGAAGAGCATTTCTAGGCCCATGCTCCAGCCTCAATGCTGTCATTGGGTCTTTGCCAGGTTGAGAGCCCAGATCCCAGCAGGGTTAACCATTTCAGTCTTCGGTGCCCATTTCCCTGCCCTGCCAGCTTTGTACATCCCAACTCTCCAGTCTCTCAGACTGTAAATCCCAGAAAGTGAGCAAAACTCTGCAGTGATGAGATACTTGCAGAGGGTCAGGGCAACAAGAAAAACCAAAACCTGAGCAAGCCAGGCCATGACTGGCTGTCGGATGCTGTGTCAGAGCAGGAATGACTGAAAATGGGAGTGTTTCCAAAAAGGGCATGGGCCACATCATTCATCCCTGGCAGAGTTATGCAGCTGTTACTTAAGCCAGTCCTTGTCATGCCATAGTTCCCTCATAGTATCAGGAACTACACGGACATTTGTCAAACAGGATGACATCTAAAGATAGCATTGAACCTAAGGGAAAGGAATTTAAAAGAAAACAAATCACCATGGTTCCAAAGTAGGGTGAGAAAAGTTTTCACTGTGTGTGAAAACATGACTTGGGTGACCTTTGCTGAGATGGACTCCTGAGATGGCAGTAAACTGTGCAGAGCCAGTGAAAGGAAAACAAGGGAGTTCGAGAAACGAGTCAAGATACTTTAATGTTCAAGGCGGTACAGTACAGCTGCTGCAAGTCTGCTCCCTCTGAGGAGCCCAAGGGCTTGGCCTGGGGGTTCAGTGATTTGTAGCCACAGCAGCTGGAGCCTATATGCTGCTGCAGCACTGCCAGCAAAGGTGAACAAGCCAAAACCTCCCCAGCACAGCCAAGTACCTCTACCAACTCATCCAAACACCATGGCAAAGCCACAGACCAGAGCTGTGATCCAGCAACATGTTGAAGCCAGCATTAGGGTGCCTAGTGCCAAGCCAAATGCCACATGTTGCAAAGCTTTGATAAATCAGCTTTTGCTACTCATGCTTGTTTAAAACCATTGGTGGGTTAGCCTTGTACAAGAGTGCTGGGTGCTTGATGAGGCGCTGATTGCTCTTGCTGATCTGCCCTCTCTGCTGCATCACATCCTCCCAAGAGCGGTGTAAAGGTAGCACAAAGTCAGTGGCTAATCTGATAGCGGTCACCTGCCTGCTCTTGCCCAGCGCCCCTGGAATTGCAGCGTGGGTTTATAAAAGCCCTTAGGGCTTCCTGTGTCTTGGTCTGAGAAGCTGGCAAAGGACACAACCTGCTTACCTGTGCACCTGGCCAGTGATGAGGGAACACTTGAGTAAATTGCCACCCCTCCACGCCCCTTGAAACAGCAGCTGAGGTACCACCTCAACTCTTGTCAAATCCCATGCATGGGCCAGTCTCTACAGAATAGTGCTGAGCCCTTTGCTACAGCTCCACAGCAGCTTCTCACTCAACCTCTGGCTGGCAAAACACATAACGACAGGAGCAGATCATGCCTTTCAGCTGCTCTGTTTCTTCCTGCTGCCTCTCATGCCACAGAGCTGTTCTGGTTTGTGCCTTCTTTGGCCTTTTGGTGATGCCAGGTCTGACCTGGAGGAGAGTTCCCGCTGTACAGCTCAGCCTGAGAAGAGTTGTAAATTTCGCTACAACCCACTGAGCATCACAGCTACCACTAGGCAAACAGTGAACACATAAAGACTTCTGATGCAAGCTGGCTGTGCTATCAGAGTAGTAAAAGCATAAAACATCCATTTGTCTACCCAGGCAATCCAAAGGAAGTTCTTGGTCTTCTCTTTCCTGTCTCTTGCATCTATTTCAAACCTCACAAACGCTCAGGTACCTAGGTATCCACCTTTCTCCACCATGTGAAATGCTGAGACCCAAACTAGGATATTGATGTGGAAACTACTGGTACTATATGTTCCTGAAACTCTTCTCAGAAATGTGTCCAAGAAAGTCCTGCTTTGGTGACTTCAAAGAGAAAGTCTGTACAAATTATCTAACTCCAAATTTTTTTATTTGATATTTTTGGGAGGTGTGGCTTTCTCTGCCCAGGCAAGCTATGGCAGGATGGAGTTTCTGACAGTGTTTGCAATACTCTGAAAGGCACAAATTTACATGAAAGCATCACTTACATTCTGAGTTTGGAGTTGTGTCACATAACCAAACCACGATGAACTGATGAAAGTTTATTCTGATGATGTAATCCCAACTGTGCTAGGTAACACTGAAGGCTGGCAATGCCATGAACACACAGATTTTGCAATCCTCTTTTTTCTAGCTTACTCATGCACTTTAAGTCAAATGCAGCTGAAATGGCCCTTTTATTTTGAGTCCATCTTTGTGTTTCTGACTGGTCTCTATCCTCTTACTACTAAGCAATAGTATGTTCTGAAAGTTTTGGTTTTACTATACTCAGGTAACAGATACAAGAACAGGATCAACACACAGCAGTGTGATAAAATTACTATATGGCATAACAAACTTTACAACTGTCCCTTGCACTCCAGCCAGCGGTGGTGAAAGAAGATAGTAAAGGTGCTTTAGCCCTGTGAAAAGTACCTCTGTTAACACCAATCAGTGCTGTGGCTTCTCCAGTGTCCCACATCCTTTTTCCCAAATGAAAATCAGCATTTCAGCTATGTAGTCATTAACTCTTTTTTTTTTTTTAAATCAACAGTTCAAAGTATCCAATTAAAATTCCTTTCAGCTTTCACTTCCCACTCTTCTGACATCATCTTTTCAGTATCTCTCCAGCTATCACAGAGTCCAGCCAGATAGGAAGACTGAACAAATGCAGAAGTAGGTAATGAACTTTCCCTGAATTTCTTCATCTGTTCCAATAAGTTAGCCAGTAAAATGCAATGGGAACAGACATCGCTATGTTTTATTTGCTACAGGTCTTCAAGACATGAGTTAAAACTGCAAATGGTTATACTGTATAGCAGAACTAAATGCATGACCGAGGTTACAGATTTTATAATTTACATCGGCCACTGTGTAACCTAAAAAACCTGACCATTTGTTTTCCTGAACCAGTTACATCAGTACATCATAGGGACAGGGTATTTTGCAGTTGGTTTTCTTTCCTTTTTTTTTTAAGCACTATGTCGCAATACAGTTTTTAACATGGAGATTTATCAGAAGTATTTACAGTTGGTTGTGAGTTCAAAGGGGCAAGATAGGAATTCAGATTAACTGGAAATCTAAACAAATGTAAAGAAAAATGAGATCAGATTCCAAAAACCTTCTAGTCTATATTGCAAGCCTAACAAATGATCTTGATTTGCGTTGGTTGTTAAAGAAGTGTAAATTTCATGATAAATTGATGTAACTCTTGGGATGAATAAAATCAATAATGTAATAACATTGAGTTAATATCAAGCTGACATTGATTGAGAATCAGTACATAGAATTCAAGGTCTCTTCCCATGCACAAGGAGATATTAATAAACCAGAGCCAGATTGCCAATTAAACCTTGCTATTTTACAGTAGATGAATAAAATAATGTGTGATGAAGAGAGCAGGCTGAGAGTAAAGCTATTCTGTTGGAAACCAAGTGTTCAGGAAGTCTATGATTCCTAAATGGGAGCATGTGAAGAAAGGCCCTCAAAAGACTTGCAGAAACTGGTGGTTTGTGATGCTTTTCCCCATAGTTATTTCTACACAGGCAAAGGCAGTGGAGGCAGAAGACATTTACTCCAAGAAATGGGGCCTAGTTCACAAATAAGTTTTTTGCAATTTGTCTCCAATTTAGACGTATATTATTGCATTCCCTTAACATATGGTGAAACTGGTTGATGAACGGACCTGCTTCACCTCCTAGCAGACTTGTTCTCTTGGCATGTTCAGTGTCCCTGCTACTTAAATTCTACCTCTGCCATGGGTGGAGAGTCAATACCAGGTGAGCATTAGGCCTTTCCAGATACACTGCTGAGAGCAACTGTGGGCTAATGGGATGAATTTTTCATTGCTAATATGCTAATTTACACTTCAAATCCCAAGTAAGGTTTAGAGAATGATGAGTCATGAGAAAACAAAAACCCCAAATGAGTGTGTACAACAGAATGAGTAAATGAAGACTTGTTTCTTATGTCTTTCTCTTTGTCCCTCTTTCCCTTTCCCCTCTGATATCTGGTAAGACTTCTCTCTCAGTAGAAGCGAATTTGAAGTATTTGCTCTCCCAATTTTATGGAAATTTAGTGTAACTTTGACAACACTGAGGCCTCTACACTTGCCTGGAGTTAGGTATCAGGGTAGAAGTCATTGGGAGGGATGAAGAGAGATGCACATACTTAGGGCATAAACTGTAGTCTAGGTTTAAAAAAATATTCCATTTATTATCATAAATGAAGTGGATTTGGTTTGAAGCTGGGAAGGAGGAATGACTGTAGAAGCTCAAGGTGCTACTGTGTCTTAGCAATTACCTCTTGGACTAGATGTGGGGAGACTTCTGGAGCAACATGACAGTGGGAGTGACTTGCCCACAGGTATGCAGAAGGCCATCACAGAGCCAGACTTCAGGTTTTTCATTTCCACCCTCCACCTTGAAAAAATGCAAACAAAAGTCACTTCTCCTACAGTTTTGAGACTTATACATCAGTGGTATAACTCCTCTGATAAAATATTTAGACATCCGTTCAGACAGATCACATCCTCGCCTTCTAAAGAAAATCTCTTCTGGGTAGAGACCACACCACTGCTGCAATGTGCAAATCCTTTGTGCCTGGGTTTGCAGCACCTTTGGACTCTCCAAAATGGCTATGCAAAGACCCGTGCTGCACACACCACTGGTCATGAATAATTTTTGACTGGTTATCAGATTCTTCTGACTGATGCCTTTGTACGTACACCCTCCTCAGATTTATTGGAACAGAAGATTTCACAGGATGACTATCTGAGCTTGCTTCCACTTGCTCCCCTGCAAGTTAGGTCACCAGCTTCAGCAGAAAGTTGAGATGAATCCTACCTGGTCTCCGGAGTTTCCTGTCCAATACTCATGTCTTCTAATTGCCTGTATATAACTGTAGAGACTGATAAGTAATGAGGGAGGGAAGATCTCCAACAGGAATGCCCTTGAAATAAACTATTCTAACAATATCATGTAGGGATTAAGATAAGCACCTTGTCCTTAACTTTGTGTGAATGAACTGGGGCTATTTATCAGCCCTATAACTCATTCAGCTATTTTCCTCTGAGTAAAACATCAAACTCATTCATTATAGTTGGCTTCGGGGCTCTTGGGAACTATCCTCAAAGCCCTTCATCTTCAGCATGGACAGCTAATCTGGACAAATAATTTCAAACAGTTTAAGAAACAGTTTGACCCCCAAGCTAATAAACCCAAAGGTTAAAGGGAAAGCATGGTGTGTATCTTTAGAGAATACAAATTGAGCTGTTTATTCCTTCCCTCTGGAGCCTGTGCAAGGTTCAAATTCAGTTTATAAGCTTATCACCAAAATTCATTTTATAGAGTACCTTAAACTCCCACTCAGTCCGATCAAAGCTTTTCCAACATAAAGCAGCTGAGCCACAATTGGTTCCCTTGTTCAGTCAGCCAAGTCAATGTTCTTAATCAGTACAAAAACATTAGAAGTCAAATGGTGGTTTTTATTAAAAGTGTTTGATCAGCTTCCAAGGAGGGGGCAGAGGTCTATGGAAAGAAACATTCCTGCCTGCTCCTACAAAATGCATGTGAGTCCTGTAAAGTGCTGGGCTCTGAGAGGACCCTGTGGCTTGCTCACGACTGACCTCATTATCCTGGGAGCAGGGTGCACCCTCTCACCCTTCACTCTAATCCTCCTCCAGCCTGAACTCTTTTGGGTTCCCTACTTCTGAAAACTCATTTATATCAGCTCCTTTCACTGGATAATAATCAAGCCACTGGGGTTTGCCAGGGATCAAAGAATGATTGCTCCAGTTGTCTCAAAATCTATTGCTTCTTTAGATGCTGTTGCTGCTCATTCAGACAAAGCAACAGTTATGCTGAAAGGAAAGTCCACAGAAGCTGTGGGATTTCAGACAGGGCAATGTCTGGGAAGTGATGTACGCAGCACAACTCTCAGGGCTCACTCAGTTGCTTAAGAGAGAGTGGACATACACCCAAGAGCACTGCACAGACATGGCTGGCCCCAAGAGCTGCTTGTTGGTAGCACTCCTACAACTCTTTTCCAGACACAGGCCCATAGGTGACATCCTCTTCTTGGTGGTCATGCCTCATACACCCAGACATGCCCCACAGATCAGCACATCTGGCTGGAAGCCAAGGTCCTCTTTTGAACTTAGTCGATTTTTCCAGCAGTAGGGAAGGAGCTCCCTGAAGCCCAAATCCCTACAAAGTACAGACAGGGGAAAAAAGCTACATTTAGGGTCAGAAAATTAATGTGAACTGATCTATGCAATTAAGTTACAGCAACAAGACAGCGGGACCGTTTTAGATCCATGTGATGGGAAAAAGAAAAAGACCTAATAAATGAAGACATACTTCACATTCATGACATCTTCTCCTTCCTCCAAAAGGCTGTCAACAGAAGCTGGCAATAAGACAAATGTAACCAAGGTGTTTGAGAAGATAGCTCACCAACAAGACCTATTCACACACACAAGTCATCAACAAACGTTTCAGCTGTGAAAACTAACCAAATTTGGCAGGAGGAGCCTTTTTTGCCATTGGGACTATGCTTGAAACTAATCATCAATTGTAGTCATAACCTTTGGTGGACACATCACATTAAATCCCAAGGAGTTTAATCAGTGAAACCATAATCTCTCTTTAGGATAATTTGAGCAGATTATTCTCTCCCAATGAGGCACTCAGAGATAGGAGGGATGTGACCACGAACTGATTGGTGCAGGGATCTGACTGATAGGAAAGAACCTCAAATCAGGAGGTTGGAGTGGCGAGAGAGGAGGCATTTAACAGAAAATTTTCATTCCCATTTAATTGTATTTTGATGGCTTATCCATTTGCAGAGATTTGATCATTTAAAATAACTTCAAATAAAAGACAGAGAAAGTAGTTGACTCATCCTACTAGTCTCTTATGCATATTCTTCCCTCTGGTAACCAGTGACATGACCCAAAGGAATGGCATGAAGCTGTGTCAGGAGAGTTTTAGGTTATTTATTAGGAAAAAGTCCTTCAGCAGAGTGATCAGGCACTGGAACAGGCTCCCCTGGGAAGTATCACAGCACCAAGCCTGACAGAATTCAGGAAGCATTTTGACAATACTCTCAGGCACACAATGTGATTTTTGGGGCTGTCCTCTGCAGGGCCAGGAGCTGGACTTCAATGATCCTCATGGGCTGCTCCCAAATCAGGATATTTTATTCTATGATGCTTGTGGGTCCGTTTCTCACTTATGATATTCTATAATTCTATGATTACCAATTCAGGCAAGTAGAAACATTTCCACAAAGCCAGAACAACATAGCTCTATTCCATTCACAAAATAAAAGCAGGAAAAAGAAAGCAGCTGAAGTTGTGAGTCAGTCCACACTTTTGAAAGTACAAGTGGTTCCATGGGTTCCTAAAGACAGACTTGTGATAAAAGTTTTACACTTGTTTGTTAGAATTTTTATTGATGCCCTAGACATATCCTGTAAGTAATCCCCAACTTCAGGAATTACACAGATCAAGTATTTTTGTCCTGATGTCACTATCTCTTTCATAAATTGAGCACAGTCAAGCTTTTTTTCCAAAGCCCCAGCAAATCAGGTTGGAGTTGAGGAGATGCATACGGAAGCACACAGAGCTGAAGAAACTCTCTTTTTGCCCTGTTAAGTGCCCATCAAGCTTATCATCCTCCTTGTGTATCCTCCTTTCTTATCTCCACACAGTGTCAGACAATTCAGATTTTCCCTCTGCAAGCCTGACAACCTTGCCTGAATCACCAGTCTCACAGCCCTGATCAGGTGTGACCACCCACCTTGGCACTCACAGAGTCCAACACCATCCTGGTGCTGCTGCCCAGCTTCCTCCTGTTTGCTAACAGAGGTATGTTTTTGATCAATTATAACTGCCATGATACTGAATCACTGCCAGGTACAGGATAAGAGTTGAGTCAGGAGACTTCCAGGAAAAGTACATCTTTCTTGTGCTGCTGAACCATCTCTCTCTCTGAAATGCTTGTGGATTAGGGATTTGAAGAATCCATTTGTCATTGTATTCACCAAGCCAGACACATTCTGATCCTGGGTAATGAGATCTCCTCATTCAAATTCCTAGAAGTGAAAAATAAATGTCTTGTTCTTGCAGTTCTTTGTAATATAATCAGTTACATATCTGTGAGTGTAAAATATTGTTCACCTGCATTTTTCACCTGTAGTATACAGTGACAAAAAATGATTATTCAGGGTAGTTGCTGCATTGTCATTGAAGAAGGCAGCTGACAACCTGGTTGAGTTCACACAAAGCATCCCAACAGGACTTACAGATGATCATTGTTGACACACTGTTAACTCTTAGTCACAATATTTACTGCACACTGTGTGAGATAATGACAGGATTGAACCTGCACCTTTGATAACAATAGGGTTTGTCATATATTTCTGAAGGAACAGGATGAGAAGGGTATCATTCTTTGCTCACAAATGTTTCAGCTAAGTGAGAGGAATCATGTAGGACATGGACTGGAATAGTTCAGTGTAAAGCCTTCATCCTTCCCAGCTTGTGCTGGTCACTAGTTGTTGACATGACTAACTAGTGACCTAGATATCAGTAGGATATGAGAAATGTACATGCCGAGTGGAAAAATCTTTGTTTTACTACAGCATTTCTTGTATCTCTTCTAGCAGCCAGTGTTCACTGATTGAAGCAGGGTACCAGACTTAATCAGTTTGGCCTAACACGGCAACCTCCATCTTACTATAAACATAGAAGCTGCATTTCAGCTTCTGCCTACCAGACTGGGTGCAGTGTCCGTGAAAATACCAAACTGTTCCCTACTTACAGCCTCCACAAAACTAAGTCCACGCTTCCCATACTTGCAGCACAGTGCTACAGACTGTCTCCTGCTCTGTGACCCCAGACTTCCAGCGGAGCTGACCAGGCAGTTCTCAACTGGTAAAGTGAGTGGCCTCTGGAAAGGCAGAGTGGTGGAAAGGCAAAAAGACGTTAAGGAGGTGTAGGGGTTGTCTTATGCACCACAGACACAGCTGAAGGATTGCTGCTTATCCATGCTCTGTCATCCGTGAGGCTCAATGTGGTGCCCCTCCCATTCCACATGAAGAATGAGTTCTCTAATGCATGGCAGCCAAAGAAACTTTGGGTGCCTGTATTTAACATGAACAAAGAGTGACAGTGTCACTTTTGATTGCAGGAAGAAACAGCAGCTTTCATGCAAGTCCAAATAATTATGCAAGGAGCGACAGTCATAAGAGCTCTGGTGAAAAAAGGAAAAGGAGGCATAGTCTGAGAATATAAGGCTCAGATCCTAAGAACAGGATCGGGTAGTGTTTATGCAGCTAGGTAGGTAGTTTGAAATGTGATTCAGATGTTTTTATGAGGCAGATTCATATTCACAAACTGAATAAAGATGCCAGATTTCTGTATGGTTCCGTTGTGCTTCAGGGAATTGTCACACCCCTGATGATGTACTAGGAAGTAAGAAGGTGACTTCCCCTGTAGGGGAAGTTCAGCTTGTCATGCAACAGGACCCATATTTTCCCAACCAAAGGCCACACCAGCCACTTTGCCAGGAATGGGAGAGCCACACCCCATCTGCAGAAAATAAAGGGGATTGCAACAAACATCCCTTAAAAAATGTGCAGCTCATAATGGCTGTGGGCTGCAGCAGGCCATTTTCTATCCTTCAATTAGTGATCTTCCAAATGACTCATCAGTGAGCATTGCATCAAAGGACCTGCAATCTGGAAGGGCCATATCTAAGTATTCATTGACAGGACTGGTAGCACCACTTTTTTGAAGATTGCCCAACTTCTCTTTATAAGGTCTCATTTTCTGTTTCCTTACATCTCTGCCAATCCTTATCAGTTCCAGCTCACATGTTCCAAGCTTGGTGCCTGCCAACAGTTCATTACCTGTTTGTTGAGTTTAGGGGGTTGATTTGGTTTGGTTGAGTTTGGGGCAGACATCTTAACTTTCTGTTTAACCAGTTAAGCTGTTTCCTGGAGAGATGTGTCAAAATAAACAAACAAACAAACCCAAGAGAAAAAATGTTGTGTATTTCTTCCTATAAGTGCTCCTTGTGGCAAAGAATTGAAATTTATTAGGCTGATGGTCCTCAGGTCATGAATCTGCCATGAAGTGCCATGCCAAATGGACTCCTGGAGCTAATCAGATTTCAATCAAGAACTCAATGTGTCTCAGCCCACACAGTAGGTGAAGCTTAGTTCTTCCTTACATCAGTTACTCCCAGCTGCACAAATAGCACAAAAGCACTGTCATCTGCCTACAACTCAGAAAGTCCAGTAACGAGGCTGGCCAAAAAGGGCCAAATGAGAGAAAACTGAGGGATTTGAGCAAGCGCTGGAGCAGATGAGAAGGGCTTGGTCACTTCGGGTTTCATGCAGAGAAAAAGCAGGCTGGGGACCAACAGGGACTGGTCAGCCTCAGCCTCTCTAAATTGATCTCTGTATACCACACTGACTATTTGTGCAGCACTAAGACAACATCATCATGAACAGCATTGGACCATCTTAGGAAGAGAGCACTAAACTGAACAGGACACAAGCATCAGCTTGCAGGCAAGAATCTACCACCAGTGTGCAGTTTGTGTCACCAAGTGACCACTCAGTGGTTCACTCATTCCCTGTGATGGTAGAAACTACTTGGACCAAAACCAAGAGTACAACCTGTGAGCCTGTTGTTGCTATCTGCCTCTGTTGTCAGTTTTCTTTTTGTCCAGTGAAATGAGCCCTGCCAATTCATACAAAAAAATTTAGAAGAGGCTCCAACTAATTTCTAGAGGTTAATATGCACCAGTTAAACGTGTGGGAATGATAGCCATGTGGCTGCTTCTTGGACTTGGGATATTGCTAAACCAGAGAGCCATCATCTGTCAATCAATTAGCATTGATAAATTAGAGGGGAGAGGAATGACAGTAAAGGTACTGTAGTCCTGTTTTCTGAACAATAGATCTGAGCATGTGTAAGCACCAAACATTACTGAGCCATGGGCACTGCAACGTAAGGTGCAGGAACAGAGACTCTGAGTGGTGGTAATAGCTCCCAAGAGGAAGAAGAGCTGTACCTCGAAGAAGGAAGAAAGAGCAGTGAGACCAGGCAATTACGTGAAGGTAACAGTAATAAAAGAGTATGGATGACAGAAGTTAGAGGTTAAAGCTAGAGAAAGGGGCAAAGTAAAGCAAGGGAGATATACTTTGAAGGGGGATCGGTGAGAGCCTGTCCACTTCGCACTCTCCTCCTTCAAAGACTGAAACAGGACCAGAGAAGTTAGGACTAGCTCTTCCGACCTCCCAGGCCTGTCCCACTTGCTCCAAGGCATACTAGAGTGTCCTTTCCACTGCCAGGCTGTAATGGAGAAAAAGCAGATATCAGTTCATGAGTCCTATTGGGGTATAGGCTGGTTCCCTCAACTGCATAAGGGTATAATGGGATGTAGCCCAGACAGGTATTTGCAGCACCAGAGGGCACCAGACAGCAAGGAGCAGGTGTTATTTTGGTCCTTGGGGCTACAGAGCTAAGGGGGTAGGACCAGGGGGCTGAGCTGGAAAAGTAGACAGGAAGGACTGTACATCATGAGGGTCAGAGTAGCCATGTCAAGAAGCATACCTATTTTTTTCATGTGTTCTTTGTAACTGACTTGGAGTAGATCTCAAGATAGGTGACTTCTGGGATTTCTCTCTTTGCTCTGTCAAATCAAGAACTATCAAGGCTACAATATAAATTTAACCTGTCCCCTCTATTACCTCTACCTCCACCAAACTGGACATGTCCATACCATTCACACTCCAAACATAGCTTTGCAAAACACTTTGAAGAAGAGGGAACCTCCAGAGCTTTTTCACTTTGTAAGTGTGGTGAAACCTGTGCTGTTGAGTCTGTATGGTCAGCACGCATTTACAGCCCTAGACCCAACACAACACAGGGCAAACCTTTCAGCCATTGTACTGTCTATTGCAGTCCCCTCGGCCTAGTGCTAAAGATAACATCTGTATTCCTCTGCTGTCTGTCACTGAAGCCACTGGTCTCAGTTGTTTTTCTGCCCTCTATTAGCAACCCCAGTGGCAAGAAGGCCCAGAGGCACTCTCTGTGACACAAATCTCTGCACTGATACAATCATTTGAACACTGGAAAAATCAGGCTTCCTTTTTCCTCTGTGTCCTTGTGCTCTGAAATTAGATTTCCTTAGATGTAGGGTAATTAATATGGGTCCTCTCCTCAAAAAAGGCACATCACAGAATCACAGAAAGTCAGGCTACAGACCTAACTCTTCGGCTACGTAACAGAGTATTACCTCCTTCCTACACAGCCTGCTCAGAACCCAGTCTTGGGTCTCCAATGGACTGTTGAAGAGAAGCAGCTGTGGCCAGAGCAGACTCCCATCCTGGGAAATTCTTGAAAGAAAATACCCTACCTGGCATGATGATTTATGGATTTGTTCAGAGCAGGACTTTCAACTGTTGCCCAGCTACACAGACATCTTCCTCTTTCTACCCTACAAATTAGATCCTTTAAATCCCATCCCCTATTTTGCTTCTTTCTCACTAAACTTTTTAGTCAGGTTGCCAAGTTTTCAGCCTTGGGTTTTGTCACGGTAACTGCTCAAAACAATAGAGGCCACCTTTGCAAAGTACATTGCAGGACCTTTCAGCTCAATTAGTTGCCTTAGCTCTGACTGCCCCTCATGTAAACTCACTTTCCTACTGCTCATCTTAAGTTTCACAGCAAGCTGGGCTACCAAGGGTAAAAGGATGTGGTCTACCAATCACACCGGAGATTAGAAACATCTTGTCTGGAATGAAAACAAACACAAATATGAGAATGTGTCTGAATATAAAAAAGTTTTCAGAAAACCTTCATGTGTCATCTTAATCATCTTCCTATTCATGAATGCACTTGAAACCTCTTACAAGGTTATGATAAGGAGTCGCTCATCAGTGCTACAAGAAGACAAAGCATTCCATTTCTTTCTGAGCAGCAAGTTACAACATGAGAGCAAACGCCTTGTGCAGAACACTTTTCACCTCCACATTCCCATCCAGAACTGTATTTACCCTTGATAAATGATGAACCACGTCCTACAGCTGTGCTACATATTTCAGACTAACAAGGGCAGAAGTAAGGTCATAGTGATTCTAGAGCACTGCCTATTGAGACAGAGGGACTCAGGCTTGTGTCATGTGCTCTGTATTTCATGTGGCCCAGCTTTAGACTATTTCCAAAATCCCTTGTTTTCCTGAGGACATGGCAACAGTTTATGTACACTGAAGTTAGAGACATGGCCAGCTTATGCTTTTTTCCCTTCCTCTACCAAAAGTTATCTTCTTCCTTTAAACCCAGTTTAACCATACTTTGGTTCCTGTTTCTCTGCAGGGCCCATACACCAACAAGAGAAGTGAAAGCAGCTATTTCTCTTTCTTTCCACTGCTCTGAGCAGTGCCTGACTGCTTGAAAATGAATAAGAACCATAGACATGTCCAAGAGGCTGAGTGAATCTCTATTTCCAGTTCAAAACAAAAGGGATCTTTGAACTAAACTACTGGTACAAAATTTCTACTCCTCATGTAATAACAGGAGTTTGTTCTGCTACCAGCAATGCGTGGTCAGACTGTGCAGGAGCTGAACAGTAAGGTTGGGATTCATCTCACAGAACATCTGCTGCCTAAAAAACTCAGATGGTCGTCTAGGCCTTCTCAGCACATAACGCAGAAAGACAGACAAAGAAAGTTCATTACACCTCTTTAACATCTATCTTGGAGTGGTACAAATTGTTCCTGAAAGGTGCCTCTTTGTCTCCATAGGATGTGAAGACCGGTGTGAGCTACATGCTGAGCTATCAGGTGTCTGGACTTAGGTGAGAGGCATTCAAATCATCTTAACAGCTATGTTTATCTGGGTCTTTTGCCCATCTGTGCATTTGTATCTAGGATCTCAGGATGCTGTCAAATCCAAGGCTGATAGTGGTGTCTCTAGTGATCGCATGTCTCTATTGCTTTCTGGCTGGTTTTGGTCTCAGACGGTTACTTTCCTTCAACCAGGAATATGCTTTTAGTATTCCAAAGATGGTGGAGGAAAAAAGGTGAGGTTATCTCTCCCCTGCTCTTAATGGTGTCTGAAAAATGCTCAAAAGCTGCCCTTAAATAGTAGCTCTCTGAGCAATGTAACTGGTGACTCCTGATTTCCTATGGATTTCTGTTTACAGTTAAATTCTCTGGTGCTTAATAATACATAAATGCCAGTTATAGCTTCTCTGGCACTTGAAGAAGCCATAATGATTCACTCCCACATAGAGTGTCTGGTGTCAGCCATGAGTTCTGCCTGGGAATTTCCTTCAGTGAAGGCATAAGTAAGTCTCTTCTAGAAAAGCCAGCTACTTTCCTGATTGGAATTGAATTCAAAAACCTGTGTGGAATGGCAGAAACACAAAGTTAGTCTTCTAGCAAGCAGCAAGCTTCTCAAAAACTCAAAACCAATCGATTTGTACTGTAAACAAGTAAACGAAGAATGGAAATACTTTTTAATCTGCATTTCAATGAAAGGTTTACTTCACCTCTGCCCCTTTTTCCTGTTACATCACATCTTTGAAGGGACAAGCCTGGCAGATCGTAAGAAGAGAGTAGTTGGTTTTGTTATTATTTAGATATAGAGCACCTTAAGGTATGCTAGTAACTGCTGAGTCAGGTGGAGATGCTTCCTGATGGAAAACTGTGCCTCACTTAAAAAAAAAAAAAAAAAAAGAAAAAAGAGGAGGTATTTGGAAAGATAAAGGGCAATTCAGTCCTTTGAATGCTCATATCATAAAACTGAATACGAAATAATTACCATAAATGAGGCAACAAGTTCCTACACCCTCTGCAACCTTGATGACATCCTTCTGTGTCATCAAAATAAAAGTTACTTGCAGAAAACACAACACTTACTACCTTATCTCAGTCACCTGAGCTCACATATACAAAAGGAGAAGACCAAAGTCTTCTAAATCAGCTCTCTCTGCAAAGAAATTAACTGCAAAGATTTTAACTCTACTTCTTTCTCCAAAACTACTGGCACTAGGACAGGCATGTGATTTTATCCCTAAACAGGGTGTTCCTTAGGCTCTTTGCCAATTTAATTGGCTTATTCATATCCTTCCCTTCCAGATTACCTCAGGGTGATTTACATGTTGGAGGCCTATAAACACTGATGAATCAGTATATAAAACCCAAAAACATTGTTCAGTGTCTGACAGGGTCCTCACTGGCTTTTGCCCCCACATTAATTGTTCTTACTGGAACAACCTAACATACAATCAGCCTCTGACATCATCCTAATGATACATAGAAAAAAAGAGCTCTAAAACACAATGGGACTAATGTAATTTGTTTTTTACCAGTGTTTCCAGGTACTCTGTAATAGCAAGCAACAGGCAAAGTTTTCAAATGGGAAGATATATATGCTCTCAGCCTAGCTTCTTCAGTTTACTGGCCATTTTGAAGATTGTCTCCTGATTTTCCACCAATAAACGACTCAGACTGAGCTCTAAAGAAATGCAAATACAAAGACATTTTAATTTCCTCTGTCTGAGAAACATAACTTTTCTTATAGCAGTTCAACAGCTACTCTAATATGGTTTTACTTAGAAAGAGCTGGTGGACTTCCAGTGAATTCAAAACAATTTCCTTCACATGCTGAACCTGAACTATCCCTCTAGGAAATTCTTTGCAAGCCAATTAAGGTCAACTTTGCCTCCACCAAATACAGAAACAAGCAAAGATTTGTATTCATGAAAAAAGAAAGTGCTGAAAGAGGTTCATTTTACCTTTTTTGTTGACTAAAGCCTTGGACTTGTATGTACCTCTTTCTTTCTGTGACATGAACAATTTTCATAGAATCATAGAATGGTTTGAGTTGGAAGGCACCTTAAAGATCATCTAGTTACAACTTCACTAGATCCCATTCAACCTTGCCTTGATAAAATTGTTTTGATAAAATGCACCAGAAAACTTTACAGAACTCACTCATCTACATTTTTGGTAACAAATCAGTATGTTTTGTCTCAGTATTCTCACAAAAAGCAGTCACTCCATCTCCCTCCAGGGGAAGTATATTCAGACATACTCCGTTTTCTCCTTACATTATATGCCACTGCAGTGCCTTTCCTAAGCAAGTTCCCTGCTTTGAGACCACAGCTGTACTGGCTACACAGCCACACATGGAAATCCAGCACCCTTCCAATAAGTTCCCATTTTTCTTTCCAAATGAATTCTCCATGCTTAATGCCAATCTCCCTAAGACCATTAACCAGCACTTTTTAATCCATTTCATGGTAAGATTTCCGTAATATCTTAAAAAGCCACAGGTTGCTTCATAAGGCAGTCCTCACCGTTCTGGTACTTGTTTTCACAAGGAGTGTGGCATATCAGCTGCTAATAAAGGCTGTATTCTTTAATAACAGGGTCTTAAATACCTTCCAGAGGACCAAAACATCTCCACCATTACAGCTGAAATATTTCAGAGTCCAGCAGTTTTAAATCAGAGCAAACGCCTTAAAATTAGCTTCCCTGTTTGCACTGACAGTTGTGGTTACAGGTGTTATGCACTTATAAGTTCTGCTTAGATATTAAAACTTGCACACAAATTCAATCATATTTGCATTCACTGACTGTGTTTATCTGCAAAAAAATCTGCAATCTGTCATGCCCACACTGACTCTATATAACATGTTCATACAGAAGTTCCAAGCAACATCACAGAATTATTACAGTCCACATATGTAAATGCAAGTGAGCCACAGCATGAAGTTTTTAATATATAATACAGGAAAGCAAACATGTAATGAAATGGTGGGAAGAATGAGGTGTGAACTCCCTAGAATTAAAGCATGTATGTACATAATTTTTATAAACACCAAGAATGCTTCACTCCTACTAAATACATTAAAAACACAAACCAGCAAACAGGATTCAGATCTCACAAGAAGTCCATTAAAGGACCTGATCATTTAGAGTAATAAAGAAGTATTGCCTAACTGAGGGAAATAAACCCAGCCTGCACTCCAGACTCACTGCAGGAAAAGTGGAGAGCTGGCAGCCCAGTGAATTCCTCCTCTTTGATCCACAATGAAAAAGGATAATAAGGGTGTATGTACTCGCCCTTGTCTAGTTTTCACTTTCTTCAAGAAAAAGAGTTATGCTGATTCAGGGCTCCAGCCGTGGCCCAGGAGAATTTTGTCCTTATACTCCCCACACATCAAATCTCCACTTTTTAGAAAGTTCTCAAGATTTTCTCTCCCTTTCCTTTATTCAATTAATTCTAGTAACAGGCACTTCTTTGTTGCTTGTCACCAAAATATTTTAAGCACTTTGAATCCTGTCTCATTTTAGACTTGTTTCTAAAGGAGTCAGTCCTGGCCTTCAGCTCTTTGTTTTTCTTTCAAAACCTTATTGAACTAGTTGTGCTCCTCTGTGTTCACTTCAAGGACACCACCGTTTTCTTTTGTCCTGATAACTCTCACACTGGAATGTCTCAAACTTACAAATGCAAAAATAAAACTATCTTTCCCATTTGTTCTTCTTAATAGCACCCTGATGGCTGCACATTTCAGATAACTGCTCAGAAGGACATGCTGGGGGTGCCAATGCAGAAAATGAGGCTGAACCCTTGCAAATTGTAGCTCAGGCAAGAAAAGCTGCACATTTTATCCAGGAACAATCAGGTTATGACTCTATATTTACAGTTTATGTTGCAACAGGGGTTAAGAGCTTCAGTAGAGTCTGGCCCGCTCATCGGCACTGGGCCCACATTAGTAGTGCCTTTCCTATAACATTAAAGATAAACGTGTGTTGTGTGAGCATGGGTATTGTATAGAAAACCTACTCCTGCTTCCACCCAAGTCAACAGGAAAACAAAACAGTCTAGAAGTCAGAGCTTTCCTTTCTTTACTCTTATTTAAATGTCAACCAGTGTTTTATGTACTTGTTTATTAAATAATAATAATACAATAATGCCCAGAGGCTCCAATTAGGACTGGGAAGTCACTGCAGTGGGATTGTGCAAAGGCGGAGGAAGGGATGGTGGGCTGGGAATTGGACGGCTCCCCAGCGGTGAGGAGCAGGGGCTGGAAGCTGGCTCCTCTCAGCAGGCGGGAAGAGCTGCTCCCAGTGCTCCCCGCCACCGGCAGCAGCAAAGCCTTTTGTTTGTGTGGGAGTTTGATGCTACTTTGGTTTTCTGGTTTTATTCGTTTGGGGTTTTTTAATGTCAAGACATAGCATAACCAGGAAGACATACAAAGAGGTTTTCTTCAAAGTAGTTGAGCCCACAAAGAGGAAAAAAAAGAGTGTATGTAGATGTATATGCTAATTCTTATTAATTAAAACTGGAGTGCTGTGCTGAAGTTGTGCACAGGCTTTATTAGCTAATATTAAACAAAGGGCTGATCGCCTTCCACAGAAATTTCACCTTGGCAAAACTCTGATGCAGCAGAGTTACTCCTCACTTCACACCAATGTGAGCACAGGATCAGGCCAGGAGCGCTCAGGAAGGACTTGAAAGCTGATAACAAAACAAAAGGACAAACAGGAGGCACATGGGGAGGACAATCCTAAGAAGCGGGATAAGAACAAGCATGTTGCTCTTGGCAGAAAGCAACCGGCAAAAATTAATTGCGTAGTCAGTCTCTAGCTCAGTTCTTTTTGTTTTGTTATGAAACAGGATTTGTTTTTATTATAGAGGAATGGGATATATTTCAGCAGAGGAATCTGAGCTGGATAGGCATTATGCCAGAAGTATATTTTATGGGGAGATTCGAATGAAGACAGCATGGATTTGGTTCACAAGATGGGTGCAGTTGTTTCAGGCTTAAACAAAAAGGGCAGCATGAGTCAAAATCCTCTTAGGAAAGCAGGAGGAGGGAAGGAAGGAGGGAAGGAAGCAATTAGAGGAAAGCTGGGCTGAACCAGACTGTGTGGGTTTGACACAAATCCCAAATCAATTCATCAGCAGGAGAATGCCAGGCCCCAACAATGAG